AGATAATCAAATAAATAAATAAATAAAACAATTAAATAAATAAAAATAAAATAAAATAATACTTAGTTAGCTTGGCTAAGCGGCTGAGCTCTATGGCGTACTAGAATAAGTCCTCACAATTTCATATTCTGCAAAGAATTCCAAAAAAAAAAAAATTCACTACCAAAAGTCATATTTTTTTCTAAATGATTTTCCTTTCCTTTTTTTCTCGAGAATTTCAGTATAATCTTTTTCTCTATTTTTTTTTCTTTATCTTAAAATAATTTATAGAGATTTTCTAGTTAGAAACTTTAGAATTCCATTGATTGTCAAGGATTTTTAAAATTTTTTAAATCCCTTTAATTTAGGTAAAATCAATTTAATAGAAACCCAAACTTTGATACTCTGTTATCCTTTTTTGTTTGATTTCCTATTTCATGCTAGTTTAAAAAATTCTTAAAAATTCCTCTTTGCACGATGTTGTATAGGATTTCAAAAAAATTTTGTTCGATTTTTTTCTTTTTTTTATTTATTTAATTTTTATTAAAGAATAAACATACAAATAAAAATAATATTTGTTGGGGCAAAACCCACATCAAAGTAATATACATTTGGCTTATAGCCCCATAATCTCGAAAAAATTGAAACTAAAAATTTGAATGCACACTCCGAATGAAATAAGATGTCTACGTATATAAGCCATCAATTTCATACTATTACAAATGCGTGAAGTAAAACCTTTGCTTATATAAAAGCTAATTTTTATTTGATTAAAGAGAACTAGAAAAAAAATTTGCAATAGTAATTTGAAATAAAAGTTTATTTGGCAATAAATCAAAATATAAAAATTTATTTAAGTACAATAAAAAAGATAAGAGTCTCTTTAAATAAAATAATAAAATTTTAAAAAAAATCTATATTTTAACCTTTAGACATCTATAAGGAAAAAAGACAAAAAATAATTACGTTTGACGATGTGGCCTTTGGTCATCAAAACAGACTGCTAATTTGCAATATATAGTAAGATGAAGGAAGTTTTTTCCTTGCAAGGATAGGCACAGTTGTCGTAACGATTTTGTATCCGTCCGACGAATTTGAAAACAAAATAAAAAATAACGGAGTCGCCATCAATCTTTTTTTGGTTAGGTGCGATTGGTCACCTATTAAAACATATCTTTTTAATGAAATCTTAAAATTAATTAAAATTTATTAAAAAGATAATTTTAGGGTCTGCACAACTATCTGGGTTTGAGAGTCGGTTACGTGTGGGAAATGATTAACACCCCCACAGCACCCGTTAAAAACGGTACCAATTGACTACATGTTATCCTTTGATTTTGATAAAAATAATCTTATTTTCGGTATTTGAAAATTAATTTTCTTGATTTTTTTATTTATTGTTTTTATATTCAAATATTATTTGAGAAAAATAAATTAAAACTTTTTTTCTGAAATAATTCCTAAAATGTTCCAGTACGTTGGTAACATTAGAAGAACTCTTTCTCACCGAGAGATTTTTTAGGCATCACTTCTCAGAATACCTTAGAATCTTATCTTTGAATGTCCGAATTTATTTTTCGTAAAAAATTATGTCATGTATGCAATGCAAATAATAACATGTTGATGCACACATTTTATTCTTTTTCAAAAATTTTATTAATTGTTTTATTAATTTTTTTATTTTTAATTGAAATTTTGAAGAAAAAAATTTTAATTATATTGAAGATTTTCTATAAATATTCTAATACGCTGGTAATATTTTACAAAAAATCTTCTCACATAGAGATTCTTAAAGCATCTCTACTCGAAATACTTTTAGAATCTCATCATTGGATTAAATTTATTTTCTTCTCATTTTTATTACTTATATTTTTAATATATTAATCAATTTTTATTTCTTATTTAAAAAAAATTTTACTGTATTGAAAAATTTTTTATAAATACTCCAATACACTGGTAATATTTTAAAAAATCTTCTCACCTAGAGATTTCGTAGGCATCAATACTCGAAATATCTTTGAATCTCATCGTCGGATAAAATTTCTTTTTCCTACATTTTTTATTAGTTTAGTATTATTATTAAATTTATTTTTATATTATTTTATTTTTTAAAGTTTATTTTTAAAATTAACAAAATATTAGAAAAAGTTAACCACATATTTCATCATTTAATCTAACAAATATAAATATTTTAATATGCATAAATATTAATAAAATAATATATAAAAAATAAGAAAAATTCAAAAAATAAATTTTTTTACCTGAACCGAACCGATCAATAATCCAGTCAACACACAGTTCGATTCGACGATTCGATCCGATAGTTCGGCTCTGTTTGGGCGGTTCAGTTACTGCCTAGTCAGACCGGTCAGAGGTTGATGGAGAAGCAGATCGTCGGGTCGGGTGTGCGGACCCCGGGTCGGGTCCAGGTCGACGGGTGAATCCTCCTTGACCTAAACGACGTCGTTTTGAGCGTTTATCGAAATGACATCATTTTGATTTTCACTATTTATATCAAAGGTTCAAAAAAAATTTTTGGTCATTTTTCCTTTCTTCTCCCAAAAAAATAACTATTTTTTTCTCTCCTTTCTTCTCAGACCAAAAAAAATTAGGGGACCAGCCGACCGTCGTCGTCGTCGCGCCGTCGCCGTTTGTCAGTCACCGTCCGCTGTCACCGGTGGTCAAAAAATCCTTAAAAAAAAAACTAAAAAATTCTCCTTGTCCCCCTAAACACAGATCTGGGCTTGGTTTCTCCCGAAAGTATCTCAAACGACCCAGATCGACCTTCAAAGTTTCAGCCAAAAGAAAAAAAAATTTTCTTTGGCTTTTTTGGTTTGCTTTTTTTTGTGTGTTTTTGTAGGTGTATTTTGGTGCTGAGTTCCCCATTCTAGGAGACTGTTTCTGCTTTTTTTGTGTTTCTGCAGAATTTTTTTGACAGAAGCTCTCTTTTTTTTTTGTAAAATTTTTTTATCGTTTTTTTTTTTTTCCTCCTTTTCGTTTACAGATAACAAGCTCTATTTATAGAGTTTTTTGATATTCAAAATCTCAGATCTTCTGAGATTCGAATCTTATTTTTTTAACTGAAAATTCACGTCTGCCATTCGTGATTGGCGGCTTGTCAGTTAACCGCTGGCAGCTAGCGACGGTGATTTTGAACTTTAGGGATTGTACATTTAATGCACTAAATTTGAATCGGATAAAGAAAAAGAAGAAGAAGGAAAAAATAAATAAATAGAAAATGAAAAAATAAATAAATAAATATATAATAATAATAATAATAATAAATTATATTTACAGCAGTAAAAGGATAAAGACAAATATCTTAAATTTAAATTTTAAATTTATTAAATATTAAAAATGATTATATCAATTAATTTAGTTAAACTTTGATTTTGATGAAAACAACTTTGATTTTCTAATTTATTATCATAAGTGAAAAAAGAAAAACCAAAACAATATATATATATATTCTCTTTGTCCTAAATTATTTGAGTGTTATACATTAATTTTCATGGAATAAGTGTAATTTTAATTTTAGTTTAACTACGATCATAAAATTCAAACTTTTCGGACAAAATATCCGAAAAGGACTAGGGTACGTGTCAGAATTAGTTTCACATTTCTTCTGAAACTTGACTTTGTCATGTTCAAGATATGTAACTAGTAAATCTTGAGAGATGAAGATAATGCACTCATCATTTTCAATGGATAGCTTTATCAGAAAACAACTTTTAATTTAAAGCTTAAACACATTCGATGCTCCTTTATTTATTACTGGCAGTTGACATTTTCAGTTCGAGCTTCCTGGTAGCCACGATAAACTGTGAACTCTTATTAGCAATATGAAGGTCATATGGACCAACAACTGCTAAAACTAGAAAGTAAAAAAAAAAAAAGACATGCATTCCACATTGTATGATCATTGAAGTGGATGCTATCTCAAATTCTCAATTTTGGGATTTTTAGCAGGCATCAGGATTTGCCAAGAGGTAGGCTTCAATGGCCTTGAACATTCCCGAGGCCTTTTCTTTGCCTGCCTTGATTCCCTCTTCCTTGATCTCAAAGTCGCCAATGGTGTAATACTTACTAGTAGTCTTACATTATGGATCCCCCAGCTGCAGAGGGTTCTAATTTGGTCTCGTAAGTGATTTTCTCAAGAGTGTTCATCAAAGCATCCCCTTCAATTATACTGTAACTATATACAAAATTTTCTGTGTCTAGTTTTTCTATCTTCTGCTTCACATAATTGAATTGGCTTCCTGTTGAGGAAAGGCAAATATTAGGCTTTGGTTTCACAAATGAGAAAAAAAAAAAAAACCCGGAGCTATACTTGCAAGTTATAATTCCATATATTATATTCAAAATATTTAGCTGCCTACATAAACTAACAAACCTTCTCCGAAAGTAACTTTCTTGATGCTTCCAGGCTCACCATTGCCTTCAATGTACTCAACACTCTTAAAGGCCTGAGGAACAACCTTGGGAATGAGCTTGTCACCATCAAGGATACAAGCCTTGAACATCTTGGCTGGTGGGATTGTAGTAACAACCTCAGATTCGTAAGTGAAAACACCCATGATCGCTTTGAGATTTGGAAATGATCAGAGGAGGAGTGAAAATAGAATTGATTGATATTTTGCAGAGAGATTTTTGAGGTGTGGAGATGTGAACCTGAAGTTGTAGTATTTATAGAGTAAGAATGAAGATTAATCCAGAAATTAAGCACCTAAAAAAACTTGCAATTGATTCTGGTTTGTGTACTGATCTTACATATTCTTCAATATGCAACAGACAAGCTTACTATAAAGAACAAATTTATGGATCTTGAAAGCAATCAACATCAGAAGAGGATTAAAAAGAAAGAACTCTAATATTTTAAGCACTGAAGACCTTGGATTCAAGTGCTTGGCATTCAAGTGCTTGACCTATTAGGAACTCGTAGGTATGTGGTAAATTGTAATTATAATGATTAACTTATAAAAGTATCTAGTATATGTTTTTCATTTCATATATCAGAGATAACACAACTCAAACTCTTTTTATTACAACGAAACACAGATGATCATAACCAGAGACCACCACTTTTATTACCCAATCAAAGACAGTTTTGGCAAAGACAAAAGAAAAATACCAAAATCACACCATTAAAACTGAGACGACATGAGGATAAGCAAGCAGGAGCTGATAGCAACCTAGTTGTAGAGATGAGGATTTGCCAAGAGGTAATCTTCAACAGCCTTATACACTGCCGCTTGCCTTTCTGATCCAGCCTTAATTTCTTCTTCCTTGATCTCAATGTCACCAATGGTATAATACTTGCAGATTCTCTTGCAAAGGGTTCCTCCACCTGGTGCTGCCTCAAACTTGGTCTCATAAGTGATTTTCTCAAGTACGTTCATCAATGCATCACCTTCGATCACACTGTAAGTGTGTGACAAGTTCTGTTTGTCCATTGCTTCAATCTTTTGCTTCACATACTTGACTTGGCTGTCTGCATTTGTTACCAAGCAAATAAGAATCATTTTTCACTTAATAACTTACATATAGTACTTAGGTTGCTCCTATTATTTATTTTTTTTTCTAAAATACTAGAAAAGTCCCTAAACGATCCCAAATTTTTTTAAATAAGTTTATATATTTTTATTATATTCAAATAAATCTTTATTATTTTATTCGTATTCAAATAAATCATTATTTCAAACGAAAATTTGATTTACATTAAAAATTTATTTAAATACAAATTAAAGGTTAATAATTTATTTTAATATAAATTAAAAAGTTAAAAACTTATTTGAATGCAAATTAAAAATTAAAAAATTATTTGATTATAATAAAAGTATATGAGTATATTTAAGTAAAGTGATAAAATTTAAAAAAAAAATTATTATTTTAATCTTTTTTTTTAAAATATCGTATCCAACAAATATTCAATAAAATTGGACAGAAATATAAAAGTCTCATCTTCTAAATATATGAAAAAATTTCTTAAAGATTAAACATAATTATGTCCGAATAAAATTAAACATAAATAACAAAGTTTAATCTTTATAAACTTTTTAAAATTCTGAACATATCCGTATCCAATACTCATCTCAAAAAAGCTAACCTTCAGCAAAAGTAATCTTCTTGATACTTCCAGGCCCACCATCTCCTTCAAGGAGCTCAATGCTTTTGACTGCATGTGGCACAACCTTGGGGAAAAGGTTGTCAAAATCAAGAACAAAGGCCTTGAATACCTTGGTTGGGGGGAGTGGGCTAATAACCTCAAATTCGTGAGTGACAACACCCATGATTCTAAACTAGGATTTTGAAAATGTTCAAATTAAAGTAAATAAAAAGACAAAAAACAGGATGATGAACCTATTTTTTGAGCTGTGGGGAAGAAAGTGAGAACTAGGATGGCATTTATAGACTGCATTTGAAGCTGAAAATTAAAATTTCTTCAATTTTTTTTTGGTTGGATATATCCAACATAGTCACTACTTTTCAAAGAATTTGCATTAGTCAAAGAAAGCATGCACCCTGCATGAGAATTTCATAGTAAATCTCCTATTGGTCATTTTTGTTCCAATTCCTTTGCTTTTGTATTTGCTTTATTTTTTATTGAAAATGCTTACGTATATATGTGGAAAGAAAATTAGAGGGAATGATCAAATGTGCTGACAAGGAACTTCAAATTTGATTAATTACATGGATAATAAAGTTAAGTACTTTTAATTTTTCTCTAAATAAATAAACAATCAAAAATTTACCATTTATGATATTATAGGTCCATATATTTTTATTGTACTCAAATAAATTTTTAATTTTTAATTTAAACCTTTAATTTTTAATTTATATTTAAATAAACTCTTAACATAATACATAATAATGCATGTAAGATACCAGTTTTTTACGATCACAAATGCTTGAAATAAAATCTTTACTTATATAAATAATCAATTTTTACATGATTAAAAAAAATGAAAAAAATTGCAGTAGTTAATTTGAAATAAAGGTGTGTTTAGATGTAAATCAGAATATAAAATTTTATTTGAATGTAATAAAAATATAAATTTGTATAAATAAAATAATAAAGTTTAAGAATTTTTTAATTTTTAACCTTCGAACATTTATAAGGAAAAAAAAAAAAAAGAAAGGTTGGATCAAGGAATAATTACATTTGACGAGGTGGCCTTTGGTCATCAAAACGGACAGCAAAATTTCAACATAACAATAGAGTAAGATGATCGCAATCTTTTTCATACAATACCAATCGTAGTAAAAGAATAAAAAATTTTATCTAAAATTTAAATTTTAAATTTATTAAATATTAATTTTTTAAAATAATTATACAAATCAATTGAATTAAACTTCAATTAAGATAAAAATTTAATATATTATAATATTAAAATTTATTTTTTTATAAAATTAAAGTTTCCTAATTTTTAATATCAAAAGTAAAAATATCATAAAAATAATTTTAAACTATAAAAGTAAGAGTTTTAAATATTTAAAAAATAATTTTAAAACATCTCAAAATAAAAGATAGATAAAAAAAAAAAAAGGACTGATGGAGTATATATATTAAATGAATAATCAAATGTTGAAGAAGACTTTGAACTATGTAGAAAGCAACTGCTGAGAAAAATTCAAAGCTAACATACGCAAGTTACTCATACATATCTTTATCTTGTTTGCAATATTCAAGAAAATTTTCAAACTCTTCTAGAGTTTACTCGACTTTTTTGTATATGTTTTTGTCTTGTTTTCCCCTTTTCCTTTCATTTTTTTGGGCTGCTTGAATTTCATTCGAGAATGTAACTATAGCACAAGACTGGACCTCAATATTTATGAAAAAAGTTTATATAAAATTTTTCAAGTGAAGTTTATGAAATTTTTTATTAAAAAAATTAAAATCAATAAATTAAAAAATTTTATTATATAAATTAAATATATAAAATTTAAAAAATCTTAATAAATTTTGATCTATTTATTGAATAAAAAATTTTAATAAAAATATTGATAAAATTTTTATCGTTAATAAATATCAATAAAATTTAAATTATAAATAATATTTTTAATATTTTTTTACATATTATTGATATTCATATTAAATTTTATCAATTTATTTTTTATTAAAATTTTATTTATTTATTTTTAATAAAAAATTTCATAAATTTTATCTACGAAACATCAAATAAGTTTTATCTATTGTCTATATCCTTATTTATACTCGGTATTCAGACAAAGAAATTTTGATAATTTCATGAAAGTTATTACGAAATCTTAGGCTTAACTGCCGTCACATAATCCTAATTATTCAATCAAATCTTGATTGAAGATTTATAGAGTGAATTGTTTTTGAGATGCTGTAGCAAGTACTTTTGATCCATGTTGTCATATGGCCTCCATTCTAGACACAGAAAAAGCTTTTAGACTTTGACAATTTTGGGGCGTTTGGCATAATTCAGTTGACCAACTACCTTTTTTTATTATTTTATGTGATTTAATTTCAAGTCCTCATCACATGTTCTTGAAATGTGTTATTGAATATTAAATATGGATAGAATAAAGGACTCATTGGTAATTCTCATTTAGCATTTTCAGTTGATTTCTTTGACCTCAAATGTGTTGAAAGTGAAATCTTAAAGACTGTGAACTATTCCTTCCTTTTCAAACATTACATTTAGGGGTACTATCAGATCGACTTGGATTTAATTTAAATTTTTTAGATAATATATAATATTATAAATTTTTAAATTTAAATTTAAATTTAAATTATTTTTTTTAAATCGATTAAATGCGAATCAAATTTTATAAATTTAATTCAATTTATTAGTTTTTAAATTTTATTTTTTATATTATTTTAATATATTTAAATAACTTAATATATAAAATAATAATTTTATTTTATAAAAATTTAAATATATATAAACTAATAAAAATATATAATTCAATTCAATTTAATTTCTTTTTATTTTTCACATCTTGATCTAAAATCTAATTTAAACTTAATATATATATTTAATATCCAAATTTAATCCGAATTAAAAAAAATTAATTTAAATTAAATCAAATATTATAATTTCGAATCAATTTTCAATTTTTCAATTTTTTTTCTTACCCCTAATTACAGTGCTTGAATAAGGCCTTGAGCCTCTTATTCATCTTTTGATTCTTTTCTCAAAAGGGTTAATGAATAAAATGGACAAAATTTTCTTGATAATTGCTAGCTGGATTAAAACATGAGATCTGGCTTCAAATGCCAATAAGTTCAAGAGAATCAAAATAAGAAAAAAAACAATGCTCAAAATTTAAAGATACAAAACTCTAAAATGTGCTATACCTCTGCTTTTCTTTCTTTTTTCCCCCTTAATAATAGCGTAACAAGTATTACCAAACCAGAAAAATGATCCATTGGCTCAATGAGGCTCAATGAAGCCTGAGCAGATCAACTGTTCTCTCATGAAGCTGGTGCAATTCGCCTGTAAACTGCTTGGAAAGTTTGTCCTCCATTCCTAGCTACCTTTTGTCCTTCTTCGGTTGCAGTACTCAGGAGGTTTACTACAGGGTCTGCTTCAAGCTCCTTCTCTAAGAGGGCTTCAAACATGGGATGATTCTCTAAACAAGACTTCATCCATTCTCCAAGTTCTTCCACATCTGTAATTGTGTATATAATCCCACCAACCTGAAGGGCATAAGCATATTCATCTAGCAAGTGGGGACTAATTACCCTGCGACGATGATTTTTTTCTTTGAAGTGAGGATCCGGGAATAGGAAAAACATCTTTGAAAGCTGTCCTTTCTCAAAGTAGTTGGGTATGTATTTCATCGAATTAGTCCGAACAACAGACACATTCTGGTATTGACCCGGATTTGCCACCCTCAATCCTGAAATCCTTTCCTTCACATACTCGGTCACTTTATCCCTAAGCTCCATCCCAATCATTAGAGTTTCAGGGAAAAGAGTTGAAAGACTAATTAGAAGCCCTCCAAAACCACAACCAATATCCACAAACTGAATCTTTCTGGAACTATCAATCTGATCAGATGATGGGAACAATTGAGGGTAATGAAGTGAGTAGTCAACATGGCTTGGGGAGAGAGGAACAGGGAAGTGGGAGTCACTTAATGGATTGCTGTGTGCTCGCGCTCGGTAGAATCGTTTCCGAGGCAAACCAGTGGATTTGTTTATAGTTGGGCTTGCCTTGTTTTCCAACATATCTATCCCTACAAGCTGTATAATATCAAGTCAAAACCTCAGGGAACGTAGAGGGAAACTACAAATGAAAATTCAAGTGAAAAGCATGTTCGCAAATTAATTCTTCCCAAAGCCATTTTTTTATATTTGAGGCTATCAGGATTGAACTCTAATCACTAAAACTAAAACTCCAGCACTCTACTAACAGATCATACGACTGTCTACCTTTCCAAAGCCATTCCAACACATGCCTATCATTCAGACCAAAATCACTAAGCCGGTTAACAGGATTGATAAAAAGGGTTTTTCAACTTGTGAGAATAGAATTAAGTGTTACATCTGTTCTTTTTCCCCTTTCCAGTTAATAAACTTTGCTTATTAGTTAAGATCAAAACCAAATAAGGACAGTGCACAAAAATTACTTTTAAATCAGAGGTTTCCTCGAGCTAATGCCAAAATCCTTCATGTTTTCTGTTTCACTAGTGAGACAAGTGAAAGAAAAAGCAATCAAAACAGGCTTTTATTTATTAATCCCAATAGAAGAAAGCCTTCAATGCAGCGAAAAACCCTTGCATTACATGGAATTCCAGTTTTCTCAGCAGCCAAACAAAGGGTTAGTCACAAACAACACTAACAAAATGGGCACCCATTCTGGTTCCCAAATCCATGAAGCAAACAAAATACTAAGTACTAAACACAACATAAACAAAACAAAGGAAGAAACTGAACTTTCTTTTACAGAAACAGAGGAAACCCAAATCGATAAATCCCAACGAAAATGAAATAAAAAGTTCAAAACTTAATAATTCAATGGAATTACCGGAATCGGAGAAGCGATAAAGGAGCGTTCTATTGCTTTCTTCGGCAAGGGGCGGCGCGGTGTGTTTCAGTGGGGTTGTACGCTTAATTCAAGAAAATGATCAGAAATGATGGCTTGACCTTGAAAACGCCGTCGTAAAATTGGATTAAGGAATTGGGCCAATGATTTTTTTATACTTTTTTATCTTGGACTACATTTTAACTTTGGGCTTTTCAAATACATCAAACTTCTTGAAGCCCATAATTAATAGCGTAAAATGAAAATTTAACTAGAAAAAATTTTTTCCATTAAGTTGAATGCTAAAAAACTAGAAATTTTTTTGTGTTTTGAAAATTTTTGTTCCATAGTTAATTTAATTTTATTCAACATTTTATAACTATGAAAATATATTTGCTATAGCCGTAATAAAAAAGAACAACCAAACTACATATTTATTGACCTTATACCCAAATTTCAACCAAAAATAAGTGTACATTAAATGTTAGTTGGTTTGTTGGTATGTAATGAATTTATGCTTCATTTGGGTGATGGATGATAAAAGTTTTTATTACATCATTATATTCATTTTAGAATTAAATTTCTAATCAATCATTTAAATGAATTCATTATAATAATAATTTAAAACTATGACACAATGAAATGATATAAAAATCATACAAATAAATACATAAAAATGATACAATTAAAAATTTTAATAAAAATATATATTAATTAATACAATCACATATATTTTATATTTTTTATCGATATGAATTGTAACACATAATTTTTATATAAAATATAATATAAATATATGAATTATCAATATTTTATATAATATGAATATATAAATTATTATATCTAATTATAAAAAATGATTTTATTTATTATAAAGATAACAATAATCAAGAGCTTGAGAAAGAAAGAGCTACTGCAATAGTCCAAATTTCTGTAAGCAAAAGTCCTTTGGATCTGAGGATGGCCCAATAGAGACAAAAAGGGAAAAATAAAAACATAAGATCCTAAAAATAAAAGTCAAAAAGAATATTCCAAACTACTCAAGATTATCCTTTTCAAGAATAATCATTGAACAACCCAATGGCCAATTTCCATCCATTTGTGGATTCAAACATACATCCCCAAAAGCATCAAAGTCTCACTATTTTTTGTAAATTTTAAAGGAAAATTAGAAAGAAAAACCTTTCATTAAAAAGGAAGAAATAAACTCTTTTCACATCTCAAAAGCCATTTATTTGGCATAAAATATAAATAGAAAGTAGAAAAAAACAAAACACATCCCATTAATTTGAAAAAAAATATATACTTTTTCATTTTTCCCTCAATTAAAAAGAAAAAAATATTTTATATAATTAAATGGAAAAAAAGTTATTGAATTATTTCATTTGTTTAAATAAACCTTTATATTTTGATTTATATCCAAGTAAGTTTTTATTTTAAATAAAAAATTATTTATATTAAAAACTTATTTAAGTACAAATTAAAATTTTAAAAATTTATTTGGATGCAAATTACAAATTAAGTGTTTATTTGAATATAATAAAAATATAAATATTTATCTAAATAAAATTATAAAGTTCAAGAGTTTTTTTATTATTTTAACTTAAAAAATATATATAAGTTTCCTAATATTTCATGAAATATATGAAATTACTTATAATTTATGCTCTTCCTATTTATATATATTATCATTATCCTAGAAAGTATTTTACCATATAAAAGTGTATATATCTTTCAATCAAAAATGTTAAATTCAAACTTTTATTTTTCAAGATAAATCTTAAGAAATAAATCATCAATAAAATCAATAAGAGAATTGGCTCTTCTAAGATTATTAAGAAGATAATTATATTGATAAATTCATTTGACATACTATGATTGAATTATATATATATTGATAAATTCATTTGTCTCTAAATAAGTGATTTTAAGATCAAATCTTATCAGCAACCTTTATTAACAGTAATCTCAATTGCATGGTCTATCAATTTCTTTATCCAAACTTTTTTTTCAAAAAAAATTGAAATTATCAGTAATTATATAAAATATTAAAATTTTGTTTATGTAATCAAGAACCAATTTTCAACAAGAAAAAAAAAAGGGGGAGTTGTAAAATTGTGTAAATCAAAAGAAGATAAAGTTAAAGAAAAAAAAGTTTTCAAACTAAATTTTTTTATTTTTTATTATAATCAGTTAAATTTTTTATTTTTATTTTAAATTAATTAAATTTTTAAATATTTATTTTCATTCAATTAAACTTTTGATTGAACAAAAATAATTAAAATTTTTTTCTATCAAGGACTCAATCTGTAAAAGTAAATAATTAAAAATTTAATTGATTGAAAAAAACAAAAGGGATTTAGATGATTATTGGATTTTAATTTAATTTTTAGACAATTTAATCAAAACAAAAACTTTCTGGACTATTCTAGTATTCTTCTTTTATTGTTCTAGAAAAATTTAAAAACCAAAAAAAAAAAAAAAAAACTCACGCGCTTTTATTTCCTCTTTTCATCGCCAATCGCCGCATCTCTGCCCTCAGCTTCATAAGTCGCCCTTTTACTCTTCTCTTCCCCACCACCATTTAATAAAAATAATTAAAAAAAAAGACCAAAAATTCATATCAAACCCTTTTTTTATCTTTTAAAATCAAGCAATTAAAAATCCTCACTGTCTTCTCCTAATTCAGTAAAACCCTAGATATACTCACACCACTGCCCCCCTTAACCTGAGAAGAAAAACCCACCCTTTTTTTTCGACGGTGTCGTTTTTGTTTTAAGCTTTCTTTTTTGGCGCTCTTTACAATGTCGGGTTCCGGTGGAGTTTCGATCGCGAGAAGCCGAGGCGGCGAGAATCGGTTTTATAATCCGCCGCCGATGAGGAAACAACAGCAGCAGGTGATGAAGATGCAGCGGCGGGAACAAAGGCCGTTGATTTCCAAGAGTCTGACGGAGAAGAGAACGGATCACGAGGAATGCGCCACATCATCGCCATCTTCATCGTCGGTGAATAATAGTATTGATAATAATAATAAAAGAAATGATGATAATTCGACGAATTTGGATCGGTTCTTGGAGTTTACCACTCCTGTGGTTCCGGCTCAATATTTACCCAAGGTAAATCAAAACAAAACCCAGTTTTTATTAATCAAGATTTGACCTTTCTTTTTCTTTTCTTTTTTTCTTTAATTTGGTTCAATATTTAATTTTTGGGATTCTTTGATTGATTAAAAACAATGATCCAGTCCTTTTTTATGTTGAGGATATTTTGGAAAATTGTTTTTTTAAGTTTAGCAGAAGTTACTGATTAGCTGCAACTAGTGAAATTACTTGACTTTACTTTAATTTCTTTGTTAAGAATCAAAAGCCAATAGAAATTTATGAAATTGATTTGTTTTTTAGTTAGAAAAATTGAAGATGTTTTGCCAAACTACTGAAGACCAGACAATATAGAAACTGTTAATTGCAAAATTGGGAATTGTTTGAGCTTTTTTTTTTTTTTTTTTTAATGCTAATGAAGAATGAAATTTTATTCTGTTGATCTAACAGACAAGCATAAGAGGATGGAGACGCCGAGAGCGTGGACTGGAGTCTACTCCATATTTTGTGCTCGAGGATTTGTGGGAGTCTTTTAAGGAATGGAGTGCGTATGGAGTTGGGGTTCCTCTTTTGTTGAATGGGAGTGAATGTGTAATGCAATACTATGTTCCATACTTGTCTGGCATTCAGCTGTATATAGATCCATCGAGACCCTCTCCAAGGCAAAGGTAAATCCATTCACACTTAATTTTATCTAATCACCTGCTGTGGTTGAAAGTGCTTCTGTCTTGTCTTTTTGGTATGTTTCTTGACTGAGAATTCTGATTACCCATGATTTTTTGGATCTTTATGTGGTCACAACTATTCCCTGTTTCCTTTTTGTGAGTTAGGAAAACTTTAATCGATAATCAGATAAAATTTATTGAAAATAATTTTGTATTAACTTGGGAAGTCATGTTGTTAAAGTCTCACTTGGTTGTTGATATAACTTACGTTGTATTGTATCCAATGTTTTATTGATACGTTTTATAAGATCTGCTGTTGAGTCCATAATCTTAGTGAGATAAAAAGTGATTAGTTCTCTTGAGCCGTAGATAATTAATTGTATTTTTTCTTTGAAATGCTAGATTAATGGCATACTTGTTGCTTTGTTTCATTTTGCCCTCTATCTTTGAACAGGAGGCCTGGTGAGGAGAGTGATACTGAGTCTTCCAGGGAGACAAGTAGCGATGGTAGCAACAGTGATTGTGGAATAGGAAGAAGAGAGAGGGCTTGGAGTCAGCTGGAGATTGCAGATGCGAATATTCAGAGATTGACTAGACTGTCACTTAGAAATAGACCCTCTGAGGGTTCATCAAGTGATGAAAGTGGTCAGCTTATTTTTGAATATTTAGAGCATGATCAACCATTTAGTCGTGAGCCATTGGCTGACAAGGTACGTCCCTTTTCATTTGTTACGTTAGCATTTACCCCTTGTTGTGCTCTCTCTGAGAACCATGCATCCTACAGATATCAGTTCTGGCATCTCGATTTCCAGCATTAAGGACATACAGGAGCTGTGATCTATCACAGTCAAGTTGGATTTCTGTGGCATGGTATATTTCTCTTTTTAAAAGACTTCATGAAGTTATGATTGTTATTCATTGAAGTTGTGATTTTATATCTGATTGAATCTGATAATTGTTATTTTTCTGTTTTTAATAAAGGTATCCTATATATAGGATACCAATGGGTCCAACTCTGCAAAATCTGGATGCCTGTTTTTTAACATATCACTCTCTGTCTATGCCCTCACCAGGTAAGCACCTTTTCCACCGTCTATATGTGATTGCATGTCTGTATTATTTCTGCCTGATACTTTTTTTACAATGTGATTGATATTGTTTGGAGCAGGTACTGGCACGGATGTGCGGCCCTTCCGAGGCTTTAATGTTAGGGAGTTTCATGGTACTGACATGTCCTTAAAGCTACCATTGCCTACCTTTGGACTTGCTTTCTATAAGTTCAAAGTTTCCGTTTGGGACCCTGACGAAGTTAATGAATCTCAGAAAGCTAATTCCCTTTTGCAAGATGCTGATGACTGGCTTAGGGGTTTGCAAGTGAATCATCCGGATTTCAGGTTCTTTGTTTCCCACAATAAATACTGGAGGTGATCTAAGTTCCAAATGCATAACAGAACTGACCACTTAACTTGGAAGAGAATCCCAGTATCTCATCTAATTGACTTCCAAACTGCCCCAACAATCAGTATTTGCTCATACATATACTTGAAATTGCATGCCCTATTTGTAGTTCTTCCTCATGGATGTGAGTAAGATGCTTTATTTTGTGTGAATTATGGTGGATACAGAACACTGACAGGCATGATATTCCATTTCATCCGTTGAGCTTCCCATGAAACTCCTTGTTCTTTTATCAGTGTCATGGCCTTGAAAGAGACCGAGGTCAATCGCTACAGCCTTCTGGCCAAAAAAAAAAAAGGGTTACATCCTCGTAATAAGTTGTTTGATGATGAAAATCTCTGATATTTGTGTAAACTTGTGTCCTTTTGAGCTTAGTATGTATAACATACTACTTATACCAACACTTCCATGGAGCTTGATCTTGGATCCGAAGTCAAATCATCGTTTTTCAGTGGAAGTGAAATAAGATGTTACCTCTTTAGCTCTTCTTCCTTAAATTCAACCTCCCCACCCATTTTTTTTCTTCCCTTCAATATCACCTGCACACTAGAAGTTTTAGTTCTTACAATTCCTTTTAATTGTCACTTCTTATGGGAGTGAATTTTATATAAATTATTGATAATTCAATTAACACGAACGATAATTTTGAATTGTGGTTAATTAATTATAACGCAATATCTGTAGGTCATGATTTGATTACTAGTGGCTCTCGCATATATACTCATGCTAAAACAGAACCAAGCTAAACTGCCATTGATTATCACCATCAAAATAGAATAGCTTTGTGCTTTAAGACCAGAAACGGTAGGCCATAATTATTATTGTTTTCGGAGCTATGGACAAGTTAATTTGCTTGCAACAGCTGGCATGTTAAATGTTAAAAACGTTCAGAAATGGATATAGATCAAGGGGTTTCATGAGTGGATGGTTAGGCTAGGGATGCAAGTATCTCTCGTTGCTTGATTCATACGCAATAATGTACCACCACTGTTAGTAGTAATTCCCAAAATGTTACCATATTCTCTCCTATAGGCATTCTCTATAAATGGAAACAAGGCAAGAAAATGGTTCACCCATGAGAAAAGTAAAGCACACACAGCGCGCCACCACCCCCCCCCCCCCCCCCCCCCCACTTCTCTTATGGCATCTTCCTTCTACATGTGAAAAAGATCATGATTTATGCTTTATTTGGAGTTCTTGCCGCGTAGTCACGTCTTTTTGGGAATAGAACAATTTTGATGACTAATAATTTGTAACCAAGGTTTGATATCAAATCTCATCTGATTATGCTTGATTGAGAAACATTCGAGTGAGTTTGCTCTTGTCACGGTATTTCCAAAATATTTGGGTGAATGTTAAATCGCTTATACAAGTAAAAATCGATCTTAATAGTGATTAGCAAATCCCACTTGGAAGTTCATATATTACCAAAGGCTAAAACGTCTATGCCTTGGTTAGTTTTTAAGAATGACTTACCATTTTTTTTCCGTCTTGTAGTTTCTTTTTCCTCTGTTCACCTAATTACAGGAATCAATCGGAGGTGACAAAATGGTTTATAACATTGGACATGGTCGGAAGCGGGCTAGGTTCCGAACCCACCGGCAAAAAGTGACAATGGACACAAATAAGTGTAGATGACTCGAAGTGTAATAGAATTAATGTGAATCAATACAGTGAAAAAATTTAAGCTTGATTAAATTTATAATTTGAAATTTGACTCGATCTCAACTTAAATTTATATCTCAAAATTCAACTTGAGTTTAATCAAATTTTAATTTTCATGCTTGAATTCAACTCGAGATCAAGCTATTCAAATGTGCTAGATTAAACTCTTTTAATAAAAATTAACTCAATTCTCATGTTTGATTTTAAACTTAATTATGTTTTTGAAATCAAACTCGAATTTATATATATATATATATACATATATAATTTTTAATTAAAATAATAAAAATACATTAAATTTTAAAAATTCAATTATGCTTGTGAACTATTCAAGCTATAATTGGACATTAAAATGCTCGAACTCAACTCACTTAATAAGTTGAACTCAACTCAACAATAATAAAATCAAATTTGAATTTTATTTGAGTTAAATTCGAATAATTTGCGAGCATTATATCATTTTCCCTTATATCAGATAACAATAACAGCCTATATAATCCTCTTTATTAAAACATGTTTAGCACGGCAACTGCAAACAGATATTTCCAATCATAATCCTGCTAAACTCCGATCATAGATAGTATAATGAAGGCAAAGGATAGATATAGGATAAAGTTCTTCCATCTTTCCATTATGCACAAAAGCTCTAAATACAATAGGAATACAAAGTTCTGCCGATCTAAACGATTACCATTTCTAAGGTAGAGTCAAAGATCTTCCTCTTTATGCTTTACTCTGAGACCTAATATTATTATTGGAGTAACCACTACAAATACCCCCATTGACTTACAAGTTGTCATCAAGAATAGCGGACATCAACAATCCTTGGACGAACTCACACCTTTGAGACTTCTCCTCGTGGTCCTTGTCCGAGAGTTGCGACTGTTGAGGCTTTCTGTCATGATGAACTAGTTTTAGAAACTTAAATCTGATTTATAACAAGAAAACAGAAGGCAGAAGAAGTTCCTAAGCAATAAGAGAAAGGAAATGTAAAAATGCAGGCAAACACGATGCATTCAATGTGCCTTCAACATGCGTAAGATACGTTCATACAACAACCTGCTTAGACCGTGATTGCCACTATGATTAAGTGGTATCCCCCTACTGATCAATAAGGCCAATAATAATAACAAAAAAAAAAATTTGCCCATATCAAAGAGCATAGTGGACTACCAGCAGCCCTGACATTTTAGGGACCAAACAGAAACAAAAGTACTAAAATTAAAAATACTAATACCTTTCTAGAAATTCTTTATTTGTGCTTTCCTTTACTGCACTTGCTTCAGAAATAGAAAGAGCCTGCAAGCTTAAAGGCTCGTCACCTGTTGGTGGATTAAACATAAATGATGACAATAATGGATCGGGTTCTGCATTGGAGGAAGAAATAATGCATGAAGATCCCCCAAGAAAGGCCTGCAAATTTCCTTCTCGCAGTTCTTTTCTCAACATAGAAAATGTCAAATTGGATCCACCCTTGCGTAACCTCCGCTTCCGCTGCACGTAATATCTAGTCAAGGAATAACCTGAACCATCATGACATGCTTACTCACAAACAAGCTAGAGAGGTTTAAACTTACAAAGAGGACAGTAAACGGTGGATAAGGAAAGTTTCTTAGGGGACAAAAACGTATAAGCTCGGTCACTGTGAACAGATATGCATATCCATTCTAAAATAAAATGAAAACACAAATGCTCATACTCCTAAATAAGTCTATTATGTTTTGCAGGCATAACCATGGCGCATACAATCAAGCAACATGGTGAAGATGAAAGCAGATCAAAGTGTTTAGCCTTTTAAAAGAGACCCAGCTGGATGATAATTGACATAAAAGGATATCTTAAGGAAATTCCCATGTTGCATGGTAATGTGGCTGACAATATTCATTCCAACCCTCTTTGCACAAATCGGGCACACCTGCAAAAGGTAACATTCATCCAAACGCCTATTAAGCGAAATTCGAATGTAACTCTCAAGTAATGTTACATGTCCAACAGACCAACAACACTTATCTGACTGGAAGAAAAAAGCATAGAAGCATGAACAATCACAGAATTTTATTAAATTAATTTAAAAGATAAACAGCTTAAAGCCCTACCTCAAATGAATGCTAGACACAGTTGCTTGAAAAATGAGAATGATATTAAAGCAAAGAACATCTGTCACTCTAGCAGCAGTAAAATTCACAATTACTAAATCTAAAGTTAAATCCCCAATTTCAACACACCAACACAAAATCCCACTTCAAAATTTTTCTATTTCTTTTTTCCAATTATGAACCATACCATACACATTTTATATATTATTTTATAATAAATTCAATACAAAAGAAACACAAATTTCATCACTAGAAATTAAAATATATATAATTTTTGGGAAATTAGGAAAAAGGGTACCCCGTTTTTGGCTTCAACAGGATGTTCCTCATCGATGTGACAACAAAGTCCAACAATGTCGAAATCCTCAGCGCAAAACGGACATAAAAACTCCGCCTTGAAATCCTCTTCTGCATCAACTTCTTCATATCCTCCTCCGAGAAACAGATCTAAACACAAAAAAAAAAAAAAACAAAATTGATCGCAAATCCAAATAATTTAATTTCTTATTTTCTCAGGAACCAAACAGAAAATACCAACCAGATCGAGATTGATGACGCCTTGACGAAGAGGAAGAAGAAGAATTGGAAAATCGAAAGCTCCATGTATTTGACTCCATTTTTTAAGAAAAGAAAGCAACTTTTTTTTCTCTTTTGATCAAAGTATTTATGCTTTTTTTCTTATGGAGGTAAATTTTGGAAATTTTATTAAATGAAGCCCCTAAAAAGTTCATAAATTGATATATTTTATTAAAAAAAAACAAAACCCTAGAAAGATGGAAATAATAAAAGGAAGAAACGAAAAAAATAAAGGAGAGAGAAAGGAAACAACGGGGAATGAAAGAGCAGAGAGAGACTCTCCACCCGTCTTCTGGTACGGGGTTCAGCTTCTTTTATGAACCCCTTTTTTTTTGTTGGGGGTCTTTTCTGACTTGTCCATTGAGTTTTGCTAAATTATGTAAATACCTCTTTTTCTTAGATATATTCAAAGTTTGGTTTTATCATAATTAATAGATTCGAATTGATTTAATTTAATTAATCTATCAATTATAAAATTAATTTTTAAAAATTTTTTATTTTTAATTAATTTGATTTGAAATCAAATTTATTGAATTAACTAAAATTTTAGTTAAAATATAATAACCTATATATAATTAAAAATATATGAAATTATTCATTTTATTTCAAGTTATTAAAGTTTTTAATTTAATAATTTAGTTTTAAAACATTTTTATTAAATAATTTTATTTAATTTTTTAAATATAAAAAAATTTAAAATATAATATAATTTAATATATTTTATTATTCGATTAATCAAAAAATTAATTGAACTGATCCATTTAATTTCAATCTATTAACTTTTGAAATTAAAATTTAATTTGATTAACAAAAATAAAATAACATAATTTGATTAATTCAAATTTAGATAATTATATTCAAAATTAATCAAACCAATCAAATAAATATTCATACTCTTTTCACTATGTCCATAAATTATTACTATTAGATGTGATTGAGATAGTGTCACCGGAAGAAGATCTTAGGTCATGTTTAATGCATTAAATAACGAATAAGATATGATGATAATAATTTTATATTATGTTAAGAGAATTATTTTTAATTTATAATATTAAATTTATATATTTTGTTATAATTTTAAAAAATATATCAATAATTTAAATTACATAAATATTAAAAAATAATAATTTTGATCATAAATAAATTATCTTATTTTAATTCTTATATACATCAAATATAAAATAAAATAATATTATTTAACTTAATTTTATTCATTATATTATTTTAATTTATTTTATTATAATTTTATTTATCATTCACATCTTTGCTAAGTTCGTCACGTTAGGATTTGATTGGAGTTTTTATTGAAACGCGCTTAGGAAATGTCATTTGCTTTGGATTATCCAGTTGTGGGGCCGTAGCTGTCACTAGTAAGAAATATAAGAATAATCCTAAGCTGCAAACACATTGCTCTTGCAGCTCAGTTGGTTAGAGCACCCGTTTAGTAAGCGGGAGGTCTTGAGTTCAACTCTCAACAAGAGCAATTTATTTTTTTTTTCCCTTTTTTTTGGGCAATTTATTATTTTTTTCTGCAAATGCAAAGTCTATTCCAACTGCAAATGCATGAACTAATGAACATTTTACCAACATCATTCTAGTTTTTCATCAAACAATGAAAAAGGAAAGGCGCTTTGAAAACAAAAGGAAATTAATTACAGAGCATTGGGTACCCAATGCAATGAGTAACAATAGTCGCCATATGATTCACGAAGACAACAATAGTAGAGAACATAATCTAAGCAGTCACATGCAATGCTAGCTTCAGCACTTCTTTTTAGTCTTCATCAAATCAATGGGATCCGGAGCCGCGAAAGAGTTTTCAAGAAAATCAGCAATTGTGAGCTTCATGTCCACTGTCATCTTCTCAAGTATAGCTGACAATAAGTCCACATCTAACATGGCTCTATGTGTTGCATCTCCTGATTGAATGTTATAGTGTTCACGGAGTGCTTGTAGTGAGTGTAGCCTTGATCCTGTTAACAATATAAACAATTAAACTGATTGAAAATTTTATGCAGAAAGAGATAGGGGATTGAAGCTCTAACCATTCAACTTCATCAACTGCCGCGCCAGAGGAAGGGTGTCCAGAAACAGCAAATTAGAAGGAATAACCATTGAACAGCGGCTGAATTCCTTGACTAAGAAAGGAACGTCAAAACTACGTGCATTGTGAGCAATAAACAGACAAAGGCTTCCAGGAATTCGTTGACGAAGTCTGATATAGTGCATTAGGATTGGAATGAAGTCCTTCATCCTAGCCAAAACAGCAATCATCCAACATGGGGCATGGAGCAATCAATATAAAGATAACAAATAAATTCAAACTTCAATTAATTTGAGATTGGTATGAAAAATTTTGCACCATTTGAAGATAAAATACCTTGGAACATCTGATCTATTCACCATGTTGGTTGTGATACCATGAATGTGAGAATTTGGAACATGTTGGTCAGGGTTAATCAGGGTGTGCAAACAGCTGTTCTTGCCCCCCGAAAGGTCTCGGATTGCAATTTCAATAATCCGCCCACTCTTTTTGCAAAATCCAGTGGTTTCAATATCAAAAACAAATACTGTTACAAGTTGCTTTGGATCTTGGCTCTCTAAAATCTGGCGTTTAGCATCACAATACTGGATGCTTCTAAAGCAACTTGAAACTGCAGAATTGATAGTGCTTGCTTGCATTTGTCTGTCCAAGTATTCATGGCTAACATTGCTTGGTTTGCTTTTCTCAATATCTCTAGTTCTCAGCCCACTTACTGTTGATTTTGGTCTCAAAACCTGAGTCCTATTGATTGTCCCTTGTTGCAAAGGCTCAAAAGCATGTGATCCTAGCAACTTAACTTTGGAACAAACCATAGGAGAATGTATTAGTATGTGGAAGTTGTGTGACAAATAGCCTACATATGTTGATCGAAAGTGGGGTAAGGGCTGGATTCTGCATCTAGGAAATTGCAAAAGCGAAAAGCACATGGCACCTGTCATCATTTGGGCTCTCAATCAACTGCAACACAATTAGCTTGCACTTGAGTAACAATTCGACATATTTCAGGTGACAAGTATGGAATAGAATGTTAATCAGAAAGATGGCACAAACTTATGTACGCTACTTGAAGAAACAAGTAAAGAACTTCTATTTGAATTCTCCAAACATTTAAATTCTAACTCAGAAGGACTGAATTTTGTTTCATTGTTCCTGCAGTTGATGTTGTATTGTAGTAACCTAAAATCAAAGATACCTTACTGAAACAGCTTTAGTTTATACATTATCCTTGAAAGAAACCTAAAAGCAAGGATGGAAAAATCTTTCAGGGATTCAACTATGTGATACAGAAATACACAGCCAAACTCTGCCATTTTGAGATGGTTCCACGAGAAGTATCTGTAATAACTTGCAAGTCCTATGAGAGATTATATAGCAGGTAATAGATCCCCATTGTCCATACCACAAACTGGAAAATACAAGTTACTTTTTGAACCATGTTTTGCCATTGCCACAAGCTTCACTTCCATAGGTTTCAATTAGATATGCTTAGCAAATTCAATAATGAAAATACAACATCTCAACTTTATCAGAAAGAAACTCATTCCAATCAAACAACTACAATTCCAGAAGAAGAATGAAGCTTTATTCCAACATATCAGAACCAAAAGCATAGCCAAATAACAACAAGTAAAGCATCTTCACCAAAGCACCCAAATTGACCATGTATACAACTTCAGAAAACAGGCTTACCAGCAATAAAAAACTCACAAAACTTTTGAAATAAAACCACAAGGAAATCCACCCATCAACTTCACTTAAACCAAGATATCCATAAAAGCATAACCCAAATCAAGAACCAGGGTATCATTCAACTACAATCTAAAGAAGCAAAAAAAATAACAAAATAGTGACAAAAGAGACTACCTTTGAGGGAATTCAAACACTGGAAACCACATTGGCCTTTGAAACTGTCATTTTGAAATTATAAACAGACAGGTTTCTGACATTGGTTTCCTTTTCGGTGTTTGGAAGTGGAACACGAAGCTATATGAGGAGCTGAAATGAAATTGCGGATCGTGCAATTTTGAAGCCCAAAAACACTGCGGGTCATGCGTGCTTTTTGTTTTTCCGGTTCAAGGAACAAAGGAGGAACCTTTTTGGCGCTGTTTGACGCTTTGTCAACAACGGGAAAACAAAACAAAAACTCCATTATTGTAAGCTTTGGGACCAAACATAGGCTATGACCCAATATTCGTTTGGACCAAAACTAACGCCTGAAGCCTTGTCAGGATGGCTGAGCCCAATTAAATGCCATCATTTCATGGAAATTCTTGTCTTTTATGTAAGGTAGATAACACCAATTCAATTAATCCAATGGTGGTTTTTTTTTTTTCTAACTCGAACAGTCAAATAATTGGAAAATTGTTATTTGATTATGAATATTAAATTAAAGTGGTAGTAATTTTAGGGTTAAATAGTATTTTGGTTTTTTTTTATTAGAAATTGTTAGTAAACTGTAAAAGATATTTTAAATTTTTTTATTAACTTGATATATGCTATCCACCTAAACTTATAGTGCTACGTCAGTTTAATCATTTCATCAATTTACTCACGAACCTTTTTTCATATTAATTTATTATTTTTTAGTAAACGATTAATGTTTAAATTAAATCGATTTACAATATCATTTTTATATGTAAAATTAATTTTAAGCCGTCTAAATTATCTGAAACCCCTCATTTCTAAGCTATAAATAGGACCGTACCATCTAAACATCTTACATTCTCTCAATTTTGCTACTCTCTTTCTTATTTTCTTTTTCAATCGATCTTTAACTTTATCGTCGAAACACAATGCTAAGTATACCTCAATCTTTGTCATTAACCGCACAGACACTAGTAATTCAAATTTTTTGAAAATTTGATACCCTGTCACTGTTTACTAGGCCCATCACATGATCCCAAACTTATGGTTTTCATTTTTGTGCATGGCGGGCTCTCAAACTGAATGGCTATTTAAGAGAAGATGAGGTTAGAATTAGATTCAAATGTGAGCCCTGGCGTCCTTGCTGTAGCCCCATGGAATCATCCAAGGAATGTACTTGGTAGGCGCTAGAGCAAACCATATTTTTTTCCCTTCACAAAGAGCGAGGTTGCGGCGGTGGCACCATCCGATGATGGATGTTGACTTAGAGATGAAGCCAATGATGCTTACCCGATGCTGTGCCATAAAGCCCATTCCCAATGCCCTTTTTCCATTTGCTTTAGTAAGATGCCAACACACCCATTGGCCTAATAAAAAAGGGCAGAGAGAGAACAGAATGGGGTTTTGTTTCATCTTCTTGGAAAACTTAAAAGGCCAAAAATCAGGTCCTTCACTAATCTTACCCCCCATGTGCAATTAATTTAGTGTCTTGTGTAAAAGCAACAGTGATGTTGCTTCCTCCTGTTTCATCCTCACCTGATCTTGAATTGGAATTTGCACATTCCAGAACATAAATTGCCAAGAAAAAGGGTATGCATCCTTTCAATTTACCTTAAATAAGTTTTACAGGATTATTAGGTTATGGTAAATGTTTCTAATCCAGGTCAAAGTTGTTGCACTTTTAGGAATGCTGCGTGAACAACTACAATTTCCCATTGATTAGTTGCACATTGGATGCCAATTGATTCATAAAATCCTGTTGGCGAAACTGAAAACTGAGCAAAAGTTTTAAGTTTCAAAGTTCATCATCATTAGCTTTGTGAACTATAGAAAATGGCATGTGAAGATTATCAAATCTCCACCATCCCTTCCCAGGGGATGGCCTGGACACAGGAGAAAAGAGCATTTATTCCATCATTCACATGGTCAGGCTCAGGTCTCAAGTTGGCAACTTGAAGGAAAGTTTCTATTTTTCCACGAAACATGTAAATCATGGCAATCACTTCCTATTTCAGTCAGTTAGATTTAAAATAAAAATTAATCCGATTTTAATCGAATTAATTGAATAAACACCTTTAAGGATGAGAGATTTTAGGTGATTTTATCCCGAGGAATAGACATTAAAATTTAGAAGAAGAGGAAGAGCAATCATGGAGGAAAATTTTGTAGTGACAATCCAATCAAGTACAATTCAAATCGCCACTTGGTTTTAATTTTGGCATTAGAGAGTGCAAAACAGAACAGAACTAGAGACAATGACTGGCAAACAGTGGGGTTTGAATCAACAAAATTTGGAGGTATATCAATGGTAAAAATCTGGGTTTTTGAAGAAAAATTAGCGCAAAAAAATTAACCTTTAGAATTTGATAGCATCATTTGGTTTTTGGTCAGCGAAATCTGTCTAAAGACAACAAAAGTGGCAGGCAAGATAGCAGCTGTTTTGCAAGCCTGGTAAAGTGTGTGTACTATAAACCTGGAGATGTGGATCAAATTCCATATTTCCAACAGGTACACCCAAGGGAAGGCAGTTTCTCTTAGGCTAAAAAACCTCACCAATTAACCAAACCAAAAGAAATATAAACAAATAATTAATCAATCATGTAAAAGATAATAATTTAACATAATTTTATTTAATCAATTTACATCAATATATGAAAAAAAATTTATTAATTGTAAAAAATTATAAATATATAACTCATATCAATCAAGACTTAATAATCAATACTCAAACTCTTTAAATTTCCTTTAATTTTATGAAATATTTTTAATCTAAATAAATACATACTCATATATACTCATAGACTCTTTTAATATACTCTTGATCAACTCACAAACATTTACACCATCGTACTTATGTGAATAATTTCATTATTTTTTAGTTCACGAAAAACATACACAATCTCCATAATCTCTTATAATCTTATGGATATCTTTCTCATAGAACCTTAAATCTTTAATATATTTTTTTATACTTAACCTTACGAAGATTTCATTTATTTATAAACATATTAATTTGCTTATCAAAAATTATTTTTCTTTTATGAATCTTCTTCTACAAATAATATCTAACTAATTTAATCAAATCTCTTATGAAATTTGAACCACTCTTAAGTTTCACTTCAATAATTTTGATTGAAAACTTTTTGAAACAATGAAAGAAAGTGAAGGTGGATATTGGGGAGGCAAGAATTTCCTTTTCCACTTGCTGCCTTATCCTCTCTTATAGTATTATTATTATTTATTGTAAATTTGTTAACCTCAAAGGTTTCCCATAAATGGATTAAAAAGGAGAAAGCAACTCAACTCTGCCTGATCACCCAATTTTTCCACCAATTGAGATTTCTCTTGCGTGGCCATTGCTTTTGGTACTTCAACCACAGATTCTTGCCATTCAACATCTCCATAAAATGACATTTAATTAAACCATATTGGTATCGCAATCAACAGCCTTATCTAATATGTTTTATCTGAACTGTTTTATATATCATTAATGGTTATCTTTAAGCAGTGTCATTAAAGGATAAATAAATGGTAAAATTGTTTTTTATTGGTAATAAGATGAAGGTATCATTAAATTTTGTTCTAATATAATTTTTTAAAAAATTGCAAACACATTCTTTTACCCAAAAAAAAAAAAAAAAACAATTTGGTGCATTCAAATGTTTTTACAAAAATCAAATTTTAATACATAAATTTTTTCTTTGTTATCAACCGAATTATAATTAATCTCGAATTAAGTTTCTTACCATGATTGGATGATCCCATTCATTTTTATTAGAGTCGATAATTTAACTTGAAATTGTCAAATTTCAATGCGATCTTATAAATTTTTTTTTTATTGGATATTGGGTCAAGTTTAATTTTTTTATAAAATCGAGATCAAATTTTAAGTAAATATTATCTTGATCTAATTTAGTATATATAAAATATTTGTTGTTATTTATTTAATTTCATATTTATATTTATATATTTTATTTATTTAATTTATAATTATATTTAAAAATAATATTTTATATAAAAAAAGATTTTATTAATCTCAAATTGAGTTGACTCGATTAAAATTTTATACGTATATAAATTGAATCAGATATAAAAATAATATTTTAATATCATTTAAAAATTAAATATTTAATATATAAAACCAAATCAAATTTTAAAAAAATAAAAATTCGTATAGACTCGACCCATTCTCATCTTCAAATTCTTCATCTCTCACCTTGACTATAAAAAAGCCACTCCAATACCAGGTCAAAATGGTTGAAGAATTTCACTCTTTCATATTTTCCTTCAACCAAAAATTCCTTAATAATTTCAAACAATGAAAAAGGCATAATTTGTCATGAGTACTTCAAATTTCTCAAAGCCTTTATAACATTAATTTGCAAATTGTGTAATAAATCTCTTTCTGTGAATTATGATTGAAAATCAAACCCAAAAAAAAAAAAAGAAATCAATTGACCATAATTCATACAATATGAGTATATAGACTTGAGACAAACGGTTTCAATAACTCAAAATAAGAAAGAACAAAATGTCCTTTTATTCAACCTACTCACACAAACAAACCTGCTTTCCTTTCTTTCATTTTATATATTACTATAAATAAATAAGATTTTTTATTTGTTTTATTTTTATTTAAATTTTATTTTTCATTTTTTCCATTTATTAAAAAAAATAAAATATTTACCAAATGAAAAAAAATAAATAAAAATAAGAAAAAAAAATCATCTCTTAATTTTTTTTGGGACAATGCGGTGAAAGGGACGTGATACAAAGAGGCGCACGTACGCTGCAAAGCGTAGGCCCGCCATTTCTCCGCGTTGGACTTATAAAGTGGGTCCCTTCTTTTTTTTGGTTTCTCTCAGGGATAGTAGTTGGTGAAGGGACCCACACTTGGCCACAAGGGACATAACCACGTGTCGTTCTCTGATTTAATACGCTTTAAAATTTCCAACACGTCACGTTTGTTGTCTATCTGCTGACGTGGAAACCTATAAAGTGGACAAATGGGTCCCTTCTTGGCCCTTTAAGGTGGGTCCCCCTTAACCTTGTGTCAGTCTTCTAACTCAATTGATATTATTTTTTAAAAATATTATTTAATTAGTATTTTAATACTTTTAAATATATTTAAACAAATAAATAAATAAATTTTATTAATTAAATAATATCTTAAATCTAATCTAAACATGAAAATTCATATCTAAAACCTAATTCGAGCTTGACCCATGTACCAACAAGTCCCTAGACATGTCTAATTGTAATATACCTAACTGTATGCATGTCTTGAATTAAGTTTACTTAAAAGCTCATTTTATCAAATTTGAAAACTTACTCACCTTTTCTCCTA